ACCTTCACCGGATTCCAGCATTGCAGTCTTTTCCATCGAATTGCTCAAAGACGAACGGGTTGTAATTATTGCGGAACTGCGTCAAGGCTACTCAGATGAAGCAGCATTCACATGGATGTCTCTTGTGCTGCAGGCCGTGGATAGCATTCATCAAGTTAGCATTTACTGCTTGGCTCTTGTTCAACAGAACACACTACCTAGGGTAAGTGAAATCCGTCAATTCCCGAAATTTGAGAAACATTGTTCTGCAAAGTAGCCTTTCTCACTGCATCACCACGCGTTCAACCAAATTTTCATTTTTCCTGTGTTTCTGTCACGCATTCTTGTGCTTTTCACATCCTTATACAGACTCCTTTTGGTGGGATCAACTGTCATGCTGTGAAGCGACTATTTTCCGATGGTCATCTGCACCCCACCGCACTACTTTTGTGTCCGCATTCGGCTATCCAGAATCTCCCTCAACCAAGGCAACTTAGACCCAATTTGGTGGGACCTTCTGCCATCATGTGTGGACAAGTAGTGCAAGGCGTTCGTATGGCTGAAGCAAGCGGTCGACCGATTCCTGTGCTTCCGACTCCGTCCGCATCTGGGTCACAAACCACTCCTGACGGCCGTGTAAGTTACCGTTCATTAGATGGACAATATCTGTCGTCCTCTTTTCCCGCCTCACAGTAATCTCCAATCACATTGGGCAAATTTCATCTTGACGAACGACCGGAGGCCTTTTTGTCAGCTCTCGAAAGTTTGCTACGGTTTGTCGGTTAATCTTGCTTTTTCAGTCAGTCTCCTTCCGCAACAACCGACTGCTACTGAAAATCCAGGCTTCCAACTCTAGTCGACGACCAGCGGCTAGTACAGACCAGCATTTGAACTAAAGTCACCGTTTCAAGGTTGCTAATCGACGAAGAGTAAAATGTGTATGAACTAGTTATTCTCCGAACATACAGCTGGTCAGCCTGTGACCCTCGGTATCCAGTCACTTCTCGCCTAATATAAACACTATCTTGGTTTGCGATATGGTCCATCATTATGCTGGACGCACATCTGCCTGTCTATACAGTGGTTAGTTTATCAAGACTTGTTCGAAGTGTAACCTGCGGTCCGAAAAGGGATCCACAAGTGTGTGTGTGTGTGTGTGGTGGTGTGCACACCAACATAGCTCTTACCGGACTATACTTTTATAGGTCTGCGAAAGCTTTTACTCGTCGAACTTATAGGTTAACGATTCTTGCGAACACTCGGCGTTTCTTGAGGCTGTTGCGGACTGTGATATTCGATTTATAGGGCCGGTGTTTAGTGATCAGGTTATTCACTGTTTCTGTAAGGATTCCAGCTCCCACTCTTCCCTGTACTCTCCTAATTTAGCTCGGGTTCGTGTACCTTAGAACGAAGTCTTATATCAACCGAATCCGTTAACACCGCATTTGGCTTCTTCTGAGTTTCGAGTTATTTATCCCTCCTATTCTGAGTGATGAAATTTAAGCCCAACATGTCTTTTCTTTACTTCTGTTGCAGGCAGATTGATAAGCCTTTTCCGTTTTGCCATTGATTGTTTTCCTTAACTTACGTCAACCCTCTACTCTTTGAGGTGTTGGTCACGTGAAATCCTTATCCCCTTCTTCCCACCGCAGCTCCTGGTTGAGATCCTAATCTGGCGAGCGATACACACTCCGGATGACCGTTTGTTTACAGTATACAACCAGAAAGGACAAGAGGCATCCAGTCTTACTTGCGCACAGCTGCTCAGGCGAGCTGAACGACTAGGCTGCCTTCTTCAGGACAAGGCCAAAGCAACTGTGGGCACCATTGTCGCTCTGCTATATCCACCAGGTTCGTGGTGCACCACCTTCCAATCGTTAGCAAGATTTTGTTGTTTGTTCTTCGAGGTGTATAGTTAATATCTACTCGTTCAACAGAATGAAGTCCGTGTGAGTGAAAGCTGTAAAAACCTCTGATGTTAGATTTGTATATCTCACTCTCTGATTTGTTTTCAGCCTCTAGCTCTGAACAGAATGCACATCTCAACCCTATCATCCCCATTTTTTGTTTGGGCATAGTTCGTTAGGTTCTCGTGATGTAACTTACTTCGAGAGTTATCAGAGGTTGGTCGTAGTGTTTGTTTCGATTTATTGCATTTTGTTTTTTGTGCTTTCAGTTGAATGTGAGGCGAGGCGAGTTATGTGCTGTGATTGATTGCAGTAGCCTAATGAGGACCTATACTGTGTGTCCGGAATTACTTGGAGTTTGTAGCTGTATTATTGTATTGTATTGTATTGTATTATCGGATTCGTTAAACGTGTTTGTAGAATGACAGCCCATCTAGTCGTGCTGTTTTCCAGTCATCCGTCGTAGGTACATCACTTGCGTGTGACAGAAATACTGAATACACTCGCGTTCAGGTAACCAGTTATTTTTATCGAACAACTGTTTGCAATGGCTGCACTCTGTGACGTCCAACTGCACTTCGGATGTTTCCCACTAGGCCGCCCTGTTACACATTCCACCAGCTGATATGCGTTGCATTTGCTCCAGATTTATCCCGGCTGTCATGGCGACCTATTTTTGTTCAGCTGCTGTTGCTTCAACTAGGTTGGCCTCATCACAAATTGGTTTTTTTTCAATGTGGTTCACGTAGCAAATGCTATTGTTGACAAGTCTGTCGATGGCTGCCACGACGCATTGTTTCCAAAACAACGATGGGCAGAACAGTTGCGTGATAGGTGAC